AGGAATGGTCAACATATGTTATGGAAAGAATGAGTGACCCCAGTGGAGTGGGTATCAGAGATCATGCATATTGCTTACCGGTAAGACATCTGTTTTCAACTACAGGGCTTTTATTCAAGAACTGATGAATAAAGTCTCATGATATCTAAATACCATTTTTAACTCTCGGGACAGTCACAGAATTTCTCTAAATGTCAGTCCTGCACTGGTGATGTTGCCCAAGGCAGCCTGTTTGCAAACTACACTGCAATCAGTATATGTACATGCTTGATTAACTTCTAACTTGGGTTGCTACATTTCAGTCATCAGGCCAGGCTAGGTCATAATGGACCTAAGTCCAATTAATTTAAATACTGAAATTAGAGTGGGACATATAAGCAGTTTTACATCTCTAAAAGAAATTAACCTGTAGAAATTTCTTCTCCGTTTTGCTAAGAACTTTCCTTCAAAAATACATTTAAATGTCTGAAAGTTGCCTGTATATTGCCACTGATCTGGTTTGCTTATATACAGGAACCAACACAACACAGAAAAATCAGTGAAGTATCCATTGAAAGGGCAATCAGATAGATGCAATGCAGACAAAATGCAAATAAGCTTGAAGAGCCAGATTTTTTAAACAATAACTCACTGTTATTGAGAGGTAGGAGATGTTTATGGTAGTCTTGTCCCAAAGGCCACCACATACAATATTCCCACTGACTTTATTAGTTATAGTAGGTGCAGATTTATGGTTGGGTATAAGGATGTTTCAGTCTTCACCTCTTCACCTCTTATTAGCACGTGTCTTCTGCTTCCTTGCCACAGTTTAAGCAGTCCCAGATGCTGTGCAGTTCCAAAGCTCCCCTCTAGCTCCCATAAAACCAGAAAAAAAAGTATCTTGTAGAGTACATTGTGAGTGGTAGAGATGGGGCAAGAGGGCAAAGAGGAAGGATTCTCTGTGGAATATGACCTGATGAGCAAAGGATGGTCTTACCTCACTGCTAGGTAGAGTTAAATATAACCTTGCTCTGAGTTTTACGAACATTTTCAGGCCTTAATGCTCTTACAAGTATCTTCAGCAATGCTCAATCCATTTCATTTAATTTCTTAGTAAGAAAACATAGCAGTGAGGGGTTTCATTCATATTAATAACCTAAATATCAGAAACACGAAAAATCCAAACCTATATAAATTTAAAACAATTACAAATTTTTCACTGCCTTCATGAATGAATCTGCTAAGGCATTTCAAAATTACAGTAATTTGGCCAGATATAATTTCAGTGATTAAGACAAATGAAACTATGAAATCTTTACATGGAATAAAAGAGTTGATGCTAATGCCATTTTATTTGAATAAGAATGCATGGAATTGACTTTATCCTAAAGTTGCTATTTAAAAATATCAGTTACGTTGCTCTAAATCTGGAAGAGGTTCCTACAAAATGTCTTGGGCTGTAGACTAATGTGGATAAATGGATCTAATTATCTCTGGAGAGGAATATATTCTTCTCAGAGTATTACAAGTCCTGCAGTTATGAATGATACTTTCTACAGTGCTGTGGTAAACAGGAATTTTTGCTTACCATACCCTAGCTATAATTCAGAAAGATGGTTTAGTCACTTTGTCTCTTTCTATCCCTGCCAGAAGGTCAAGATTCATATAAAGATACACAACCACCTCTCCAGTATTCTTTTTCTTAGTGGCCAAATGCCTCTCCCTTTTCTGGCAATCACACTCAGACCTCATTATTGTGTAGTCAGATATTCTGCCTTTAGTATTACCATTAAAATGGCATGCAGGGGGCAATTTGACAATGATATATATGCATCAAATGCCATCGGCATTCCGCTTTGAAACTCCTTCAATTTTTTTTTTAAGCCATTCCCTACATCAACAAATAAAAGCCACAACAAAAAGAAAATACCTTTTTTCTTATTAGACTGCCAGAGATCCCAAAATCTAGTTGATATCTGGTTCCAATTTGTCTTTGTGGAAAGGAAGCCAAAGACTTGCTTTTCTTCCTCCTTGCAGAATGCAGCCAAAATGTAGTCTAACCTGGGTGCACCCACCCACACTCACCCGTGTATGCATTCTAGTCATGACTCCAGTTAATAAATTTGATTAGCTCGTACAGTACTCCAAGCCAGCAGCCCACAAGGCAGGTTCAACCAATACCTTCGCTTCACTCGCTGCTCTCAGCAGACCACCAAGGCTCTAGTTTGTATTTTTAAACCTGGGTTAAATTGTGGCATAACCACAAACCATTGTATGCGATTAACAGTGGGGTTCCAATGACTGACTGACAAACAAAATCTTAGCACACTGAGTCTGCTTCTCCCAGTAGTAAACACATGTTATTAATGAAATGATTCTAACAGGCTACACAATTGGAAGCTTTTTTCCTTGATTGACAGACTGTGCTTTTCTTAACAGGCCAAATAAAGAGGGCATGAAGAGTACACTTGTATTTTTTACTTTGTGAAGCAAAGACATGAAACTATTGCAATATTTTCTCCATTTAGTCACAGCCTACTGGGACGTTTCTCTGTCCAGTCACTGAGTGATGCATTACCTTGATACACAAGTTCTGTTTCTATGAACAGAAGGGACTGGCATCTTAAAAAAACGCCACCCTCTGATCTCTATTCCTCCCTTTCCACTGTGGACCCACACCTCTGTCATCACTGATATAGCTTAACAGGAGAACAGCTGATTGGGGGAAAAAAAAAAAAAAGTCAACATGCATGTGGCATGAAATCATGACACCATCACTCAAAACTACTGCAGACTGGTACAGTTTAATTGCCAGCTGCTCGAAACAACACTCGCTAAGCTAGACTGGGTATTAAGCAGCAGGATGAAACAGATGGGCTTGCTCATTCATAGGCACTGTAAGTTCATACTCTTCAGAAGAAACAGCAAGGGCCAAAAAACAGGATGAGAACTGTTGCACAATTTCACTGCGTCTTTTTTGTTTCTCAAGGAGTGGTTGAAATACATATCCAACACATGGATATGAAACAATTCATACCAAAATTGTCATCACAACTGTCAAGGCCCCTAAATTGGACCTACAATATTCAGGCATGGGATTTAGTTAGACATTCAGTAGCTGTGTTCTTCAGGCTACGAAGCAGCCTTCCTTACTTTAGTCTCTCCCTTGACTGTTCATATATGCTGCTACAGTGTCATTTGCCAGGCTGGAGGACAGCAAGGGGAAGCAGGGGTTTCTATCAGTGCTGCTGCCAAAAGATAAAAAAATGCAAGTTGAACTTTAGCCTCACTGATGAAATGGCTCCAACTTTTGGGTAGTTTACCCATCTGGATTATCATTGCATCCAATGACACTACTAGCCAGTAAATGGTAACACACATGTATATTGTCATGGCACACTTGCTCCTGTGCTCAAAAAAGAAGGTTTGGAATATTTGGCTTACACAGCTCATCATGGCAGTCTATACAGCAAAACTGCCATCCTTACACCACATGCTTGGCCTTGAGTGTTGCAAAGAAAGGATAAGACTAAGTACTTGACTTTCAGGGAAGGTTCTTACTCAGGAACAGAAAAGCAGTATTTTATACTGAGAACATTCAGCACCCCACTGTCAGCACTCTCTCATTTCTTTTTTTTTTAATATGAAATACACTCAAAGAAAAGATACACATTAATATTGCTATTTTGAAGTTATTACAAGAAATTGTTCTGTTGCATCACCTACATGTGAACGGAAATTTTGTTGGAGTAAACAGTCAGTTTTCATGGGATTCACTGTTTCATTTCAAAGACACAAGCTGTGAATGCTGAAGGGAGATTTCTTCCATGCAAAAGGTCAGGGTTCATGTTAGAGCAATCCGTCACAGATGAGTCAGTGATATTTCCATGCTGCACTATTCTCCCTGTACAGCATGCTGAACTTCCTGAATTGGTATGGTCAGGCTAGAAAAGGGTTTGCTTGGTCACTTTTTATAATTTATTATTGACCTCCCTCTTGGAGACAGGTCTCACATCTCCCAACTTTGCAGCCTTGTCGGGCAGAAGAGTAAATTTATGTGTTGGAGGGAACAGAAACTTAGAAAAGGAAGACTGGAAGGAATGAAACTGTACTGGTGCCGTCAGGCAGGATTATCTGTCAGGCTGTGATGCTGCCTTCTTCTAAAAGTCCATGAGGGATGGTATGGATTTTCTTCAAACAACTGATGCAGGTTTTCCTGGTTGGTTCCTGTAGTTCGATATCTACTGCATGTTTATGCACCTACTCCTGTCCTTACTCTTTTCTGCTCATGTGGGAATAAAATGCTTCTTCCTTTGCTGAAGTGACACAAACCAGAAAGCCAGTTGTTACTACTGTTCCTTTTTGTGGCTACTAAGTAGCTGCAGGCTTAACCTATAAGTTCTCTTTAGATTCTGCTCCTGAGGGTCATCCTTCCCAAGAAGAGAATAATTTTTCTTCAAATGGAACTTCAAGGAAGGAGATAAATTGCGTTTTGCCTGCTTAGTTAGTGTTGCATTATCTTCTGTTTCCCTCATTAATAATAGAATGGCAAACAAGACACGCCCGCCTTCCACAGAGAAGAGGAGGAATGGCAAAACAATAGAAAATGATCCAGCTATAAACTGCTTTAAACACTAGACTTAAGCAAGGATTTCAGTCAGAGCACTTTTGAATCACTCACAGCATGGAATATTTCAAAATAAGGTGACACCCTCACATTAAGCCTTAGAAATTAATAAGAACTGTCTTAAACATTGAACTTGTTGAAAAGAGGTACAATGGGATTAATAACTTAAATGAACCACATAACATTAGTATAAATGTTGATACTAATTTGCATTATTATACAATAGGAATCATGTTAAAGGTAATCTGAGATATCGATAACCAGGGATTCCTGCCTCTCAAGGACCAAAGAGTGAGAATATGAAGTCTGAGTTTTATTGCTCCAGCTGGCTGTGATGAGGGCTTGGTTCTCCTATCATAAAGCACAGGCACATCCTGTTGTCAATTAGACTCACCGGTATTCTGTGGCAGCAGCATTGGGCCCCTGGGATGTTATATAGTTTGTTTTGCTATGTAAACATCATGAAGTAATCCAGGCAGTGAAGGACACAGATGAGCAGGCAATTTGCAGCATACTAAGTAAAAGAATAAAGGTCTGTGAGTGAGAGACAGAGAATAAATAGTAACAACATCCCTGGGATATAATATCCACTGGTCTGGAGTCATTAAAAACATATACAAAAGAAAGTTAAGGGACTAATTAAAATAAAATACATCTGTGTTTTGCTTCTGTGAATAGACAAAAGAAGGACTTACTGTAGGGGGAAAAAAAACCCATTTTAGTTATTCACTTTGATTTTAGCACATATCAAACACAGCTTCCAGGTGGAATTTTTCTTTATACAGCACCTATGCACCTTTTAATTGGGCCTTGAATCAGGTTGTAAAACCAAACATTCATTCTGTACCTGTATATTTGTCTATTTTGTGAAAGTAAAATGTAAGATATTGTCCTTAGACACATTTTAACTGTAGCAACTTAGGTCCTCTTTGTTTGAAAATGCAGTCCCATAT